GCGGCTTCCCGACTCTTTCTCCCCACGGTCCTGCAAGAGAGAAGTGTTCTCGCCATCTTACAGATATGGAAACTGACACTCACGGAGCTTGTGTGACTTCCACTCTCTCCTCCAATCCAGGCAGCAGCCAAAGTGATCTTTTAAAACACTCCTGATCTTTTTCTCGTTGTGTTGGTCCTAAATACAACTTTTTTTTTTTTTTTCTGAGTAGGCAACTAGGTCATTCCCCTGCTTAAAACCTTCCCTTGAGTTAGGATAAATCGTGGTTTTCCATTGCAGTTAGAGTAAATCTGAACTCTTAACGCTAAGGCCCACAAAACCCTGAATGCTCTGCCCCTTGCCTGCCTCGTCTAGCCTCATCAAGTCCCCCTGTGCCCCTCACTCAACCCCACTCAGACAACTTCGGCTTTCTTACAGTCTTTCTTCACTGGCCGGGCTCATTTCCCACTCCAGGACATTTGTATGTGCTGTTCCCTATGCTTGGGAAGCTTTTAGTCTGGCTCTTCTCACAGCTGGCTCCTTTCATCAAATGTTAGCTCAAATATTTGCTCCTGGAAAGGCCATCCCCACAATGCAGTCTAAAGTCAGTCTTGCATCACACAGCACTTAAATGAAATTATCTTATTTTACAGTTTTATTCACCATGATGTCTACAGCCCAGAACAGTGACAACATTAGATGCACAATTAATACTATTGGAAGGAAGGACTGAGTGGTTTGTCAAAGTCCTAGATGCTTGCAAGTGGTAGAACTGGGATTTGAACCCAGGTCTCCGCGGCTCCCAGGAGGACCCTCCTTTTCCTCACCCTTCCTTAGTTCAGAGAGTTGAGTCAATCCTACTTTTCAGTTTGTGACACACCATCACCACGAACCAGGATCCTCTCTAGTTTTGTTCATTCATTTTTCCTCTTTCATTGCCCACCTCCTGTCCTCCTCCCTCCCTTCCATCAGACTCCTCCTCAGTGTGCTCAGCCTGCGTCCTTGCGTGCTGTATGGCCCCGTACCACACGTGGCATTGTCTCACATGTGGATGTGTTTGCAATTTACAAACCCGATGTCATCATCTAAAACCTATTCTGTTCTTTACATTTTTCCACTCAGCACTAATGTTCTCCGCATACATCTTGTCTGTTGCTTCTCCTAGCTGCAAGCATGGTAGATGTCATGGATTGACAAGTCTGTCAACTTGGCTGGGTCATGATTCCCAGTATTGTATAATTGTGTACCATTTTGTAATCTGATGTGATTTCCTTATGTGTTGTAAATTCAGTCACTATGATCTAATATGGATTAGTGGCAGTTATACTGATGAGGTATACAAGATTGGATAGTGTCTTAAACCAATCTCTCTTTTTAATTTAATTTTTTCATTTATTGTTGTAGTTTAAGTGAAAGTTTACATTTCAAGTTAGTCTCTTATACAAAAATTTATACATACATTGTTATGTGAGCCTAATTGCTCTCCCTATACTGTGACAGCACACTCCTTCTTTCCACCCCGGATTTCCCGTTCCCATTCAGCCAGCTCCTGACCCTCTCTGCCTTCTCATCTCACCTCCAGACAGGAGCTGTGCATTTAGTCTCATGTATCTACTTGAGCTAAGAAGCACACTCTTCACGAGTATCATTTTATGTCCCACAGTCCAGTCCAATCTTTGTTTGAAGAGTTGTTAAGCCAATCTCTTTTGAGATATAAAAGGGAGAAGTGAGCAGAGACACTTGGGAACCTCATACCACCAACAAAGCAGCGCTGGGAGCAGAGCACGTCCTTTGGACCTGAGGTTCCTGCACAGACAAGCTCCCAGACCAAGGGAAGATTGATGACATGGACCTTCCTCCAGAACGGACAGAGAAAGCGTTCCCTTGGAGCCGATGCCCTGAATTTGGACTTGTAGCCTACTGGACTGTGAGAGAATAAACTTCTCTTTGTGAAAGGCATCCACTTGGGGTATTTCTCTTAAAGCAGCAGTAGATGACTAAGTAGACCATGCTGAACATCCACCACTTTTATTAACCACCACCCCGTCCACCCACCCACACACAGTGATGCACACTTAGTTGGCCTCAACACCCTATCACATACATCACTGCCATGAACATCTTCACATCATTGTTGTTAGCTGTGGAGGAGTTAGCCAACTCACGGCAACCCCATACACAACGGAATGAAACGCTGCCCAGTCCTAAGCCAGCCCCGTGATTGGTTGTGCATCAAACCAGTGTGATCCAGAGGGTTTTCACTGGGTGATTTTTGGAAGTAGATTGCCAAGCCTTTCTTCCTAGTCTTAGTTTGGAAGCTCTGCTGCAGTTTGGTCAGCATCATAGCAACATGCAAGCCTCCACTGACAGATAGGTGGTGGCTGTGCATGAGGCTTATTGGTTGGGAATTGAACCTGGGTCTTCCTCATGGAAGACGAGAACTCTACCACTGAACGACCACCACCTTCATGAACATCTTCACACACCAGACCAGTTACTGTTGAGTCGACTTCAACTCATTGTGACCGCATATGTGTCAAAGTAGAGCTGTGCTTCATAGGGTTTTCGATAGCTGGGTTTTCAGAAGTAGATTGCCAAGACCTTCTTCTGAGGTTCTGAGGTGCCTATGGGTGGACTCAAACTTCCAACCTTTCGGCTAGCAGCAGAGCACGTTGGCCTGTTTGCACTGCCCAGCAACTCTTCATATTGCCTCCTTATGGACGGTGGCAGAATCCTTCCTGGAGTAGTGACCCAGGACTAGAACTCCCGGGCCATAGGACGGACGTGTGCACCCACGACTTCACAAAGTATACCACAGATGCTCTCCTTAGTTCACACACCCACTACAAGGGGTCTGCTTTTCCCTCAGCACTTACATTATCCGGTTTTCTAATAGTTTTGTCAATCTGATGAATATCTCGCCCCTTGTTTTCATCCGGGTTCTTTGACCACTGGAGAGTTCGAGCAGCACTTCTTATACTTGGCAGCCATTGGGTTCCCTCTTCTGGCTGTTCATCTCCTGTGTCCATTTTTTTCTATTGGGTTTCCAGTCTTTTTCCTGCTGATTTGCATGTGCATGCATATCTAATTATTAATCCCTTGATGGTTTCTGATGTTGCAGATATCTCCTCCCTGTCTGTCTTTGTGTTCTTACTTTATCTAAAGTGCCCTTTGTTAGAGAACAATCCTTAGTTTTGGTATAGTCAAATCCACATGCTTTTTGCCTTATGTTTGTGCTCTCTGAGTCTTGCTTAAACTGTTTTCTCAGCCTAAGGTCACAAATATATTCTCCAACATCTTACTCCACTATTGCCATTATCGTTTTACTTATCTAGAAAGATGTTGCAGCAAAGTAATTATTAGCCAAGCTGCCTGGCCTGGAATTCTAGCTCTTCTCCTTACTAGCTTTGGGAGCTTGGGGGGCTGGGACTAGGGGATGGAGTGAGGCACTCCCCTTGGGTGCAAAATTTCAGGGGACACAAAAAAAACCCAGTAAGCAAGATAAATAATATTTTAATGCAATGATATTTAAAAATCAAAATGAATTCAAAAATCCATGATGAACAAAATAGCAAACGTTAAATAAAGACAGGTTTCCACCCTGCACGTGCAGGGCTCACCTCACCTGCAGGACTCACCTCACGTGGCTTCCGCAAGCTCCATAACCTCTTCTGTGCCTCAATTTCTTCATCTGTCAAATGGAGTTAATAATAGTGCTTCCCTTAGGTCCCTTAGTAGTGCAAATGGTTTGCACTCGACTGAAGGTTGGCAGTTTGAACCCACCCACTGGTGCCTCGGAAGAAAGGCCTGGCGATCTGCTTCCGTAAAGATTACAGCCAAGAAAACCCTATAGAGCTGTTCTACTCTGTAACACTTGGGGTTGCCATGGGTCCAAATCAACTCCACGGTAACAGTTTTTTTTTTTTTTTCATAGCATTAACTGAGGACTAGATGAATTAATGCATAATAAGCACAGGACAGTGCCTGGCACATAGTGAGCACTTGATAAATGTTAGGTTTCATTCCGATTAATATTAAGATCCTTAACCCTATAGAGTCCACCTTTGGATATGATGTGAGGGATCTAGGTTTCTTTCAGTGTAAAGTGAGCCAGTTTTCCCACCACCTTCCAATCAGTTCTTTCTTCCATTGAATTGTGGTGCCACCTGTATATCAGCTATATAGTTGCTCATATATATATATCTGTTCTAAGCACTTTTTTTGGTTCCTTTCATCTGTTGGACTAATTCTAGGCCTGTATCACATGCTTTTTATCACCATGGTTTGTGGTGTGTCTTAATATGTTAGGGAAAACCACTTCTGTTGGTCACCTTTTTCAACCTTCACTTATCTTCCCGTGGACTTTTAATCTTCTATAGGAATATTACAAAAATGTCCCAGTTCTCAAAAAATCCTCTCAATTTTTATTGGGGTTTCATTGAATTTC